GTAGGGAAAAATAAAATGCTCACAGTGGTTCAGAGAAGTTTGGAAAGAGCTACCTTAGAAATGCTGAAGTGTGTGTTCCTGTGTGTGTGTGTCTATGGATGTACATAAAATGACCACATATTCGACCTTTTCAGCTTTGGGATCTGCAGGGAAGGGAAGCCGCCCAGTGGACATAGGACCCGATTACAAACCACCCCTTGGTGGTAAGTTGTGTTATAAAGCTTGCTTTTCCATTTAAATGCACTTTCTTGTAGTGTTTTGCCAAGTGATGCTGTATCCTACTGAAAATACTGGTTACATCTGTCCCAGTAACTTACTCTCTTTAAGGTGATAGTTGTTCCCACTCAAGAACTTGTGTCGTACTTCTGTCATAGTGTTCTTGGGTACTGTGTGGGGTACATGGAAAAATATCATCACATGCATTTACATTTCAGTCTTGATAAGCAGATCTTGTTCCTGGTTTAGTTTTAAATGGCTGCTGTAGTGCACAAGTGTAAAATTAATTCAGTAAGAACATATTAGGAAGAAAAAAAACCCAAACAACTCCTTCTCCTTATTAGCACTGTGCGTTGTGGAAGCCTTGCCCTAAGGTAACACTCATTAGTGTTAAATAAAATGTGATTTTTCTGAGCAAAGTGACTGCTGTAGAATAGTGATCCCCACTCCCAGGATGATTGGGTTCAGGGGGATGCCTGCAGTGCTGGAAGTTTAGCAAGGTCCCAGGTTAAGTCTCCTTAGACTCCAAACTGTGAATTGTTTTATGATAACTATTTGAGTAGGGTGAACATAAATTTTTATAGGCTGTTATTTGGAGGTGGGTCTACAAAGCACCTTATAGATTTAATAATTGTACAGAAACACAGTTGGCAAATGACAAAAAATTAAGGAAGCACTTCACTTGAAATCCTAGAGACAAACCATCCTCCTCATTCTGCTAATGTGTGGGATTCTGGCAGGCTTTGGTGGGCACTGCTTGCTTTTGCTGGGGATGTTTTCTAACTAATAAATGACCCCTTTCTCCCATCTCACACTCTCACAGGCAGTAACAGTCCCCATGGAAGTCCTACTTCCCCATTGGACAGCAACATGCTCCTCGTCATCATCGTGTCTGTTGGAGTGATCACCATCGTGATAGTGGTGATAGTCGCTGTCTTCTGCACTCGCCGTACAACTTCTCACCAAAAGAAGTAAGATGTTGGGGTGAATTCTTGTGTCCAGAGGTTGACATGCATTGATACAGCTGAGTTATCCTGTGGATGATGATGATGATGTTCTGGTTTTCCCAATCGGTGTCTGAGTTTACAAACCATCAAGAGTTTACAGGCAAACTAGGGCAGTGCTTTCATGTGTACCCGCACTGGCCTCCCTGTGAGGAGAAATTACTGTTTAAAATATTGTTTCCAAAGTTGAGGCAATTCATCTGGTGAGAGCTATGAGAGCTCGGGCAGATTCTCACTTCTGATCCTAGTGTGTACTCTGCTGTGTGGAGTAGGTTTACAAGCTGTGCATGATAATAGCCATGTTGTAGGTAGGTTACTGGAGCAGAATCTGAATCTGGACTCCTTAGAAAAGTGTACCAAAGTCCTAAATATAGGTGTGCATCTGAATTAAGATGACAGCAGCAGTGCACCTGTCTACAGGCTCCTGAAGGATGTTTCTGCATGTTCTTTGAAAGAGCTGGACAGAACTGAAAGCTTTTTTCCTAAGTTTGAAAAGACTGCAGTGCAAAATAGAGTTTTAAGAAAGTCATTAAAAGTCAGGCTTAGAAGATAATCTCTACTTGCTTTGCTGAAGCCAACTCATCCTGCAAAAACACAAGTTCTTTAGGAGAGGAGAGCGAGGATGTACGAGTGATGCTCTAACAACTGGGGGATAGGCTTGGGAGAGGGCGAAATTCCTGGGCCTGTGCCCAAGAGACGTATTTTATTTCCAAAGAGCAGAAGTAACCCTGTGAAGCCTTTGTTTTCCCAGTTTCTGAATGCCACCTCTCATACGTGCAGTGAGTAACCTTCTGAGCTGAACTCGTCCAGCTACAGTGTTCAGGGCAGGGTGCTGGCAGCATGGCTGGCTGTGTGCCTCCTCCATGAGAGGCTCCATTTATTGAGATTTTCAAAATTTACTTAGTCCTACCTTAGGCAGTTCTAGCAAGTGTGCTACCCAGAAGGGGGGACGCCTTCCTCCATTACTGCCAGGGTCCAAAGTGAAAAATCACAGAATCATTGCTTGGAAAAGACCTTTAAGATCATAGAGTCCAGCCCTAAGTCCACCCCACTAGACCATGTTCCTAAGGAGCATATGTGCATTTTACTTTTCCAAAATCCTGTCATGTCCAATGTCCTCCCTCTTTGCCTCTGCTATTCAACAGCCATGAAAAAGTGCATTAGTTAGATGTGCCTGACCTGAGGAGCTGTAAAATGAATGTTTGTGTCATTAGTCTGTAGAGTTAATGGGGCTATTGGGATAATTGGCTACTTGCACGCTCCTGCTACAGCTACGGTTTGAGGTTGTTTGTAAGCCCGGGAGTACAGACACAGCATGACATATGTATGCTTCATGTTTAGAATATTCTGTTAATGACCATAAGTGCTGGAAACTTAATTTTTGTTAATGAAAGCTCAGACTGTAGAGCACAGTTCTTCAGCATGAAGTAGCATTTGAGCCAAATTTCATGGCATCTGAGCTGCAGAATATGCTTTAGGGTGTCAGATGTGCTTATATGTACAATTCAAAGCCTCCTGCCCAGTGGGTAGGTTTTGCTCAGCTGGATACAAGATCTGAAGGAAATCTCAGTCAAAATTTGCCTTTTTCAACCAGTGAAAGGCAGCATACATCTAAGAACACTTCGTTTGTTTTCCTTCCCAAGGAAACGAGCTGCCTGCAAATCAGTGAATGGGTCCCACAAGTACAAAGGGAACTCCAAAGATGTCAAACCTCCCGACCTTTGGATCCATCATGAAAGACTGGAGCTAAAACCCATTGATAAATCTCCAGATCCCAATCCAATCATGACGGACACCCCAATCCCTCGCAACTCCCAAGACATCACACCAGTTGATAATTCCATGGACAGCAATATCCATCAAAGGCGAAATTCCTACAGAGGTGAGCGATCAACAAATACTCTGACTGGGATGTTTAAAGTTAAATACATTTTACAGTGTCTGGTGAAATCACTTTATCGACACAGTATTCAGTTACCCTTACCTCTTTTGTGTTTTTATTTTCCAAGTAGTGAATTGGTTTTGTGCCTAGTTGATAAGATTTTCTGAAAAGGATGGATCACATGTTTTAGTGAGAAAATTGCATGCCCAAGAGTTAAACGATGAATTTCCCTTTGTAAATACTGATTAGTAATCAGAAGATCATCTACCAGGTGTTTTATTTTAAGCTGTTGCAAGACGTGTGTGACATATTTTCAGCAGTCAAACACACAATCAGGTTTTGGTGCTTTACAGCTCGACTTTTGAGGTGTGGGTGAGTTTTCAGTTGACAAGTGGTTAACTGGTTCATCCTGCACGTCTTACCCGTGTGTGTGACTCCGTACTGCCACTCATTGCCCAGAGCTGCACTGCCAGAGGTTTGTGTTGGCATTATGGCCTGGAGAGGTTCTCCACTGCCCAATAATCTACACCCTAACTGTCCTCTTTTTGCACCTTCTAACGAAGGATGAAGGAGCTAGTTTTGTCACTTATGAGTCACACAACTGCTTACTGCCCAGAAATAAAGAGAGGAGGATTGAAATCATCTGGTATGGCATCACAGAAATCTCACTGCGATGGTAAATAACCTTCAGTATTCTTCCTTCAGGGCACGAGTCAGAGGATAGCATGTCCACACTGGCAGGAAGAAGGGGGATGAGGCCCAAGATGATGATGCCTTTCGATTCTCAACCACCTCAACGTAAGTCAACAGCCCACCTGCCAGCTGACTTGAAACTGGGAGCACCCAAACAAGCCGTTTGGCACTTGCACTCACGCACTGCCTCCCTACTTAGTAATTCTGTCATATCCATGGTGGAAACAGTTTAAAGAAGGCACCCCGAATCCCTTACTGTGAAGGCAGAGCTAGATCAAGGTAAAAGGAACCACTGAACAGCTGTATTTGAGCAAGCAGGAGGCATGCTGTGAAAGTGGGGAAGAGTTTGGTACATGTCCAACTGTCTGTCCCAGCTTCCAGCAGTGGCAACTGCAAGTACTTTTTAGGGAGAGCTATGGGCCTGACTGCTTTCTAATAGTCCATTCCCTTTGCGCTCTGCCAATATCCAGCTGTCAGGCGGGAATTGTAGAGTTGGTAAATCTGTCAGGTTCTCTTCCACTCTTCGTTTTTTCCTCCTCAGACCAGTCAGGGCCTTCTTAGCCTCTCCTCATGAGGCAGCTGCTCCATCCTCTTTATCGCTTCAGTCGCCATTCTCAGAACCCGCTCTGACTTCACTACACACTTACATAGCACCTCCAGGGTCTCACAGAGCAGAAAACAGTGTCCCTTGCCTTGTCCTCAGTACCTTCCTTGCTTGACTGATGTACTGCATTCTGTTGGCTTTTTTGGCTGCCATCGCATACTGAGCTAATGATACTGGAGATCTGTCAACCGTATCTGCAGAAACTCCTTGCTGAGCTGTAACTGCCAGCTCTGAGTGCAGCATCATTTAAGTACTGTTCGGGTTATTTTTCGCTCAGTGTAGGACCACTGTAATAGCTATTTAGCCACGATAAAGTTTACTTGCCATCTCTTCGCCTGCTCACTCGGTCTTGCGAGGTCCTTCTGGGGTTTCTTGCCATCAAAATAGCATTTGACTACCCCAAGTATAATTTCCAAACTTGAAGATTTCTCTGGCAGCTTCCATGTCTGGGTCACTGTGAAAGATAATTGATTGAAACTAAGCCCTGCACTGATACCTGAGGAATCTCCTGCTCACTCTCCTCTGTCTTGAAAATTGATCATCAAGCCCTTCTGTTTGCTGCTTCCTGTAACCACCTTTCAGTCCATCAAAGAGCTTTCCCTCCAACAGCAGCTTAGTATTTTATACTTACAAATTTTGATGGGGGCTAAGGTTTTGAGAGTCTGGCAGAGCAGACTCTTGAACAGAGAGACTGCCTGGTTTGTTATTTCTTATCTGTGTGTTCTCCTATCAGTTAATGAAGATTTGAGCAAAAGGGCTGAATTGCATTTTTGTTAAGGCAGTAGAAATACATTTTAGTTATTGTTAGGGAACATTTTAAGAATTAAATGATCTCTCTAGTTTTCAAGTGATGACTCTAGGATGGAAAGGGACTTGGCTACACCTCTGAACAGCTAGACTGAGACCCTGACTTGGGAACACAAGTACAAAAGTTAACAAGCAATGACAGAACCATAAGGCAAAATCACTCAGTGCTTAGCACAATGTCCGTGTTCAACCCTGTAGCCAGGTCATGGCTACCACAAGCTCTTGTGTTTTATGGAATGACTTCGGGCCAGCCTGTTCTGTTTCCATTTTCTAACTTTTTGCTTTATTTCCCTGAAGTGAGTGCTTGGTTTTCTTGGCCTCTACATGCTTTTGTAGGTGTTCTGATGACCTGATCAGCCCATTTTGTGAATTTTTGACTGTTTCCTTGTTTTACAACCTTTTTACAAGAGTAGCATCTTTTTTTCCTTGGTTTTAAAATAAATAGTCTGCTCCTAGTTTTCTCCCAATTTTATATGTATGAGGATGGAGTGGAGGATGCCATTTTACACTAATGATCTTTGATTAATGTTTAAAAGCTTGTCTGCTGTCAAATAGGAGTGTCTAACAAGGGACACCGCAGCTATTGGATTCTGATGATTTCCTGTCCCATGCCAGCTGCTGGAACATGATGAATTCTGACTTGTGTGACCCCGTAACAAATTCAGACTGCAATAAGTCTTACCTTGCACTCTTCTCAGTGGTTTTTCTCTAAATGGGATGCAGCATTGGATACACACGTGGCATAAGATAAACTCGTACAGGAGCCCATGTGTGCTGAGTGCTCCACAGAAGTGGTGGAGCGAAGTACCCCTCATGCTGTGTAACTTCAGTGAGAAAGATACTCAGCAACTTCTATGATCAGTCCCATAGTGGATGAAAAGATTTACAGCTGACCCGAGTGGTACATAACAGTGGTGGTTTGTATTTTAGGGAGGTAGTATATTCCAGACCTACCTTTTGATGGTATTCAAGCTGATGCGATTATGCTGGCAGATACAGTTTTGGATATGATTTTCCCTTGCGGCACTAAACCCAGCTTTGACATCCCTTTTTGATACCGGTCCTGCTGTTTTTACTTGAAAAACGTATCTTTTTCAACCCCTCTTTATTAGGTATTGCCTTGCCCAGAAAGAACGAAGCAGACACAGGCACAGCTGTCCGTGTGACAGGTTAGCACGATGCACTGAATGTCAGGAAGGATATGTAAGGTCTTCTGGTGCCTTAGGGCTTGAAATTGTTTTTGTGACTTTGTTTGACTCTTTATGGTGTTTGCAAAAGCTCTAAGGGCTTCCAGCTGTACAATTCTACTTTATAGTAACTGGAAACTTTAATGTAATGTCTTTAGATACCTTTTTGCAGAAGCTACACAGAAAACTGACACCGGTATGTGAGGCTCTTTCTCAGCGAGGAACACAGAAGGCAGGGTGATTCAGTGTGTTTAAGTCTGTACCTCCAGATACCTTCCTACTGTTGGCTTTTTTTTCCCCCTGCTGTAGCATTCAAATCTAGTTACTTACCTTTTACATACTAAATTACCTAAATTGTTGTTTTAGTATAATGTACAG